TATTATTATTATTATTATTATTATTATTATTATTATTATTATAATATATCGTTTTTAGAGTGATTTGTCAGAAAGTAGAAAAAGTTTGAAGAAAATATATTAATAGTTGGAAAAAACCGAAATGAACTGGAAAAACTAGAAGGAACTGGAAAAAACTAAAAGAAACTGGAAGAATTGTAAGAAAATTGGAAGAAAATGGAAAAAATTGGAAGAAACTTAAGAGTTCAATTTCTAAAAAACATGCTTTAAATTGTAAACATGCGGTGTGCATGAGTGTATTTAGATTGTGTCTATACATTTTAAAATAAAATGGCTTGATCATGGAGTGATAGTTAAACAAGAACTCACCCACCAAAATTATGGCTTTGATTCACACTCAAACAATGTGAACGACTGTAAATGAACCCAAATTCCCACTAGAATATAGGTATTCCATTTTCTATATAGCACCTATAATTATTAATTACATGGACCGTTAATGTGAATTAGAGGTAGTGAGTATTGAGTATGAAATGAATGATTAATTACGAAATTATGAATAGAGTTTTTCATAATTACTTCAAAAGTCTCTAAATAAAATTTACATGCATGCTTTACATGGTAAATTATAAAGAGTACAATATTTTTTCTTGGTTCACTGCTCCCTTTGGCTAAGAACTAATTACTCCCTTCGTCCTAAAATAAATTTCCCAGTTCAATTTATGAGGTTTGACCAAAATTATTTTTAATTCAATATATTTGATTATAGATATAAAATTAAAAAAATAAAATTATATATTTTAAAACTATATCAAAAGTTTTATAAAATAAGAGGTGACAAGACTATATTATTTTATCAAATGATTAAAGAAAATATGTAAAGAAAGTTATTAAGGTTTGATTGGACATATTATTTTAGGACGGAGAGAGTATTTGTTTACTACGGAGTATTTACAGGGTCAAACTTCATTCAATTTTTTTTTCTATTTTCGCTAGTCATTTGATAAAATAATATATAGTCATGCCACATCTTATTTTATAGATCTCTTAATATAGTTTTTAAATATGAACAATAACAACTCTGTAGAATCCCGCAAAATTATGGTATGGAGAGGATATGTGTGGGCAGACCTTACTCCCACTAAAAGGAGAAAGGTTGTTTCCAAAGACCCCTAGTTCAAACTACACAAAAATCAAGTAGCACAACAAGAAGACAGAGTACACATAGGGATAAGGTACCAAGCCAACTGGAAGAAGAAATACGTCAAACCAACACAACACACAACAACACAAACAAAACTAGCACCCTAGACTAAAAGACTACCCAACTACTCTAATCCTAAATCTCCAGACGTCTCTATCTAAGGTCATATCTTCTGTAAGAGCCAAATGTCCTAAGTCTTGCCTAACCACCTATTTTCAAGTCTTCCCAGGCCTACCCCTACTTCTGCATGCACCCTCCAGCTATCGAAAGTCTCTCGCATCAAAACACTTTGTATATTTTTAAATAAAGATAATTATTCTAAATTTACGTTATAATTAAATATATTTTTTTACAATATATAACCAATGTGCTACACACTTTTTTTTATAAATTCCAAATGCATTAAAATAAGCATAGATCGGCGTCAGTCCCTTAAAAAACTTCCTTTTTACAAAGTTAAAGGAAAAGATAATATTGTAGGGGTGAGATTTTATATATGTAATTTTGTTTGAAAGCAGTGAGATTTAAACAGAATAGAAAGAAATAATTGTCACACCTATTCCCTTAAAGTAAGAGCATGTGCAATGACAAGTAAGAAATGGAATGCCACAGTGGAGTATTTTAGCCAATGAAAATCAGTCCATTCATCATGCAGCAAATGAGTGGAGTGGCATGCCTTGCAATGACAAGTCACTCTTTTTAATTAATAAAAATGATTTTAAATATTTATTTGATTATAAAAATACTTCTATAACATTTATTTAGTAATAGGAGTATCGTTTTTACTTATTTTAAAAGATTTAAAAAATAAAATAATCTTAATTTTCCTTATTAAAAAAATTTAAAAATATGTTGTCTAATTTATTTAAATGCCTTACAAAAAAAAAAAACATTTTTGTTTAAAAAAACCAATCCATCCGTTTCCTTCTTATCCCAATGCTACACCCTATTACTTCAAAAAAAAAGAACATACACGCCTCGCACATGCCTCACTCGCCGGCCGTGGGGTGGATTGCTCATTCCTCTCCTTGCCGTCCTTGGTAATCAAATAAGTGGATGATGTGGCAGGGCGAGGTAGATGAATTACTCGCCACTGCATATGCTCTAATGACTAGGGGTGCATACAAATCAAATAAAATGTATTCGATTCATGATTCGCATTCGAAAATGATGATTCGTATTCGCTATATTCGAATTCGAATCCAAATACGAATCGTATTTTAGATTCAAATTATATTCGAATCCGAATACAAATATTAATAGATTCGATTCGTTTATTATTCAAATTATTCGAATACTATAATTTATAAATAAATTTATATGTATTCTAATATATTAAATATTTGTGTACATATGTTAACATATTTTAATATATTAAATTTTTGTGTACATATAAATTTATATAACATATTTTTACTACATTTTACATTATTATAAAATAATAATTTAATGTCTTTAAGAAATCTATTTTAAGAAAAAAATTTCTAATATTTTCGAATTCGAATATTCGAATACGAATTCAAATACGTCAAATATCTATCGAATCGAATACGAATGTTTTTTAAAATTTGAATTATATACGAAACCGAATTCGAATACATATCACTTTAATCGAATACGAATCGAATAGTGATATATTTGCTTCGATTCGATTCGTATACACCCCTACTAATGACAACGTAACGTAGAGTGTAAGAAATTTGTCACACCTTTCATCTTAAATTTAAAATGAAAGGTGTGAAAATTACATTTTAGAGGTGAGTATATTTACTAAATTTTGATTTTTTCCAGTAGATTTATAATTAAATAAAATTATTAAAATATATTGATTGAATAAGATATTATTTTGATAAACACTATATAAAACAAATCAAATAATATTACTCCGTATTTTTGTATTGATATTTATATAATATCTATTTCATTTAATTAATCATTAAACTTTGTCAATTTTGATGATTAAAAAATTAAAACTAGATAAATACTTAGAGATAGAGGTAGTATATAACGATTACAACGAGGAGATATGAACAACCCCGAAATCGAATTAAATGAGACCCTTACTCCAAATTTATACTCCATCCGTCTCTGAATATTTATCTACTTTTGACTTTTTTCGGTCAAACTTGATAACTTTAACCTCGAATTAAACAAAAAAGATACTTTATTAGATTTATCTCTCACTATTCAACATTATGTCCTAAATTTCAAAAGGTAAAAGGCAAATCTCATTTTGGCACAAGTAGAGTACTTGTAGAAACAACCAATAGAGTACTTGCACAACCTCATTTTGGCACAAATTGGTGATTTTAGAAACAACAACTGCATAGCTAAACCACACATGCAATGATGGCCCAATTTATGGCAGCCTCTCATTCATTTAGATGTGTTGCCGGTTGGCATCTACCTATGTTATCCATACATAACTCATTCATTCTTCAACCAACCTACATTTAAACGTGCACTTATTGATCTAATGACAAACTTGAAAACGACTTGGGCCTAAGAGTAAGCCATTACTCTTTTTGTACCATGGGGCCGGTATCCATTGGTCCATCTATATCCTACTCCCTCCGTCCCCAATTTGATTACAAATTGCAGGTTACGGAGTAAAATTTTCTACTTTTTGAAATCATTTTATTTATAAATTGGTATATCAATAACATATAAAAATTACATATTAAAAACTACGTCAAAAGTTCTACAAAACAAGAGGTGATAAGAATATTTTATTTTATCAAATACTTAATGAAATCGCGTAAACAAACAAAAGTTATCGGGAGGAAAGAGAAAAAAAATTGTAATCTATTTAGGGACGGAGGGAGTATTTATTTTTGTACCCATTCATATCCTCATTGGTTTTTTCTTTTAAGCGATTTAATGTAATATTGTCTCTTTGAGTGTTATTAGATTGAGAATAGTATGAACAAATATTATATTATAATCGAGTCAATAACATTTAAAAAAGATGCATACAGAGCATTATTTAGAACAAAAATGAGTAAAAAACATAAACATAAGGCAAAAGATAAAAAATATGATCATTCTTCAGGATAGCAAGGAGAAATTACATGTGTGAAGATGATATAAGTAACATGTAGGTTCATTTCAAAGGTGTAAGTTAAAGTTAGGACCAAATTAACCATTCTTATATTTACTACATACGGAGTAATATATTAATGATTATCATGTTAATGATCTTAGGGGCTGTTTGTTTCAGCCTCTTAATGGTTCAGATGTCTGAATGATTCAGCACTTAATGGTTCAGACTGTTTGTTTCAGCCACTTAATGGTTCAGATGTCTGAATGGTTAAGAGATTTGCCTCTGAATGGTTAAGTATTATACAAAGTCTGAATGGTTAAGACCTCTTATCTGAATTGATCAGACATTTGCCTCTAAATAGTTAAACAATATACTAGCTCTTGATGGTTCAGACCTCTTACTGGTTCAGCACTTAATGGTTCAAACCTCTTACTGGTTCAGCACTTACAGATTCAGAAGTTGCCAAACAGCCCCTTACTCAATGTTACGGAGTGCTAATAATATTTGTACAATATCAAACTCCAATATCTTTCTCTAACCATTTTTTGCCCTCTAAAGTGTAAACATTTTTTGCCCTTTGAAATGCAAATAACAATACTCACTAGTGTATTTGCAAGTTTTTATTTTTTACAATTAAAATTAATAAATTTTAATCATTAATTAAATAAAATTTGTAATAGATATTAGTACAAGAACACTTTTTTAATTTATCTTATAAAATATTTTTAAAATATAATTTTACCTTAAAATAATTTATATTTTTTATTTAATTGTAATGAAAGATCAGTTTTAGTTGATGGTAAATAGTCAAAACTAAAAAATATACGGAGTAGTTTCTAAGTTTTAGGAATAATAAGATTGGACAACACACTAACATATCTTCACCAAATATATTTTCACGTGGGCTTCAGGTTCTGAAACATCGAATCCCACTTCAGATCTCCAACAGCCGGCGAACGCTGCACTCCGCCGCCGCCTCCGCCGGAAAGTCCCTTTATTTCCGGAGAAGCCGAAGCAGAGCTCCTACTGCCCCAATTTGTGAGCATCATCAGCCTCCCCTGACTGTTACCGCCGACCACCGTCTTGTTCCTCTTCAGCATCGCCGCCTTCCATCTCAGGCTGCAATTCCTCGCCGACACGATCGCCAGGCTTCCGCCGGCATCCTCCCGGCGGCGAACCCACTTCCCGAGATTCGTCTTCACTTGCTTCGCCGCGAAGACCAGCCACAGGAACCTCTGTTTTGACGTCCCCTGTTTCTTCTTCCCCCGGCCCTTCTGCTCTTTTCCGGCGAGCTTGAGGATCTCTAGCCGGTGTTTGGCGACGGAGATTCCCATGCTCTGCAGAAACTCGTGGTTGAAGAAGGGTATATCTTCTTGGTCGAGTTCATTGTGGGCGAAAATCAAGGCGTAGTCATAGACATGGCAATGGTCAAGCTTGGTTCTTGAGAGCCATGAAAACCAATCCATGTAGATAGGATGGTGGTGGTGGTGGGTGGTCGTGGTGGGTGGTGGCGGTGGAGGAATTCTTGGGGGTATGGGAATGGGGTTTTAATGGGGGGAGATTTCTTGGGGTATTTGAATTGATAGATGGGTAGTTGANCTGCAGAAACTCGTGGTTGAAGAAGGGTATATCTTCTTGGTCGAGTTCATTGTGGGCGAAAATCAAGGCGTAGTCATAGACATGGCAATGGTCAAGCTTGGTTCTTGAGAGCCATGAAAACCAATCCATGTAGATAGGATGGTGGTGGTGGTGGGTGGTCGTGGTGGGTGGTGGCGGTGGAGGAATTCTTGGGGGTATGGGAATGGGGTTTTAATGGGGGGAGATTTCTTGGGGTATTTGAATTGATAGATGGGTAGTTGAGATGAGAGTGACAAATGGTGTAGAAGGGTGTGAGCTCCTTTGCTCACATAAAGAGGTGCTCAAAATTTGTATCACATGCTCACTTTTTCATGCCTTTGGCTACACATTTATTAGATTCTTTAAATGTTAAGTGACGCACAAGTATCATACATTTTCGGTTCCAACCTTATAGTCTAGTTTTTATTGTAGAGTAATGCTAGATTTGTACCTAATTACTCTCTTCACCATACATTCTTTATCAATTTTCTAATATTTTTATTCACACTTTAAATTGTGTGACAGATAAGCTCTGGTGTACATTTGGGGTAACCGGATTAGTGTACCCCTAGGATTTTTTCTTATAAGCCTAAGTTCATGCTCATTTTATAAAATTTGGTATATTTGTAACAGAAAAAAGTGGGTTTTTTTGCAAAAAAAATATATATCCTCATGCAAAAAAAGAAAATATCCCCATGCAATCGAATGAAAAATATGAGAAGGTCCATATTTTAAATATGAATCTTGTGACTATATAAACATCACTCTAATTTTAAATATATAAATAATATAAAAAGTTCATATATCAAAATCACATCTTAAAATGAATTTATTTATATTAACTATATAATATAGTTAAATGTATTTTTTATATATTTTATGATTAAAGTGACAACAAAAATAAAACTGGACGATAATAAGGTAGAGTAAATTCGTAAAAGAGATTTTTTCTAATAAGATGTTTTCTGAAATCAATCCTCAATAAATTCTAGTTACTTACATTGAGATTTATCACATATGGACCTTCGTAGAAAATGTTACGGAGTACTTAAATACCGATTACCGACTAAGTAGAGGGTGTTTTGGTTTTTTCATTATTTAAACTTAGAGTAAGTTTCTCAAAGCGATCATTTCTAATGAAGTATTTTTCAAAATGACATTTTCTAATTAAGAGGTGTATTTGATTCAAATTTTAAAATATTTTTACAATAATTCATTAATAATGTAAATATTTAATGATTGTCTTAATTTTTCATAAAATTTTATAAATATGATCATTTTGAAATCTTGCTTTAAATTTAGATAATAAAAACACAAAAACATTTTTCAATTAATCTACATTTTTTTACGAATGACTAGTAAGGAAAAAAAATCTCAATTATAAAATATTATGTAGGAAATAAAAAATTTTAAAACTTATTGAGAATTAATTTAGAAAAATACCTTATAATCTCAATCCACAATTAAACTCACATGAGGACATTGTAGTAAAGTTCTTTAACTTTAAAGGCCATTTATCATTAAATTCACAGGCGACGTTTGAGGTTGGGTGTGTGATAGAAGGCCAGGCTTATTGTGCTTGGGCTTGGACAATGGCTAAAGATGGGCTTGAGTTGTTGCATGATCGGAATTGAGGTCATTAAACTATTGGGCTCTACCCAAGAAATACCTCTATAGGGGTCTGTACTTGGCCCATCAACGAGCTCATAGATTTTAAGCGACTTATCTTACCCAATATACGGAGTTCTTCGCATATATTAAGCGGCCCAAATGCCCAATCCGTGTGTAACCCATATAATCGGATACCACAAGGTCAAATCTATTTTAACACCAAGTTTAATTTTATGTGTTTTACAAATAAACAAATAAGAATGATTAGTACAATCCATGTAATAATTGTTTATGTGTATATATGAAGTAGTTATGTCAAAGTTTATTGTCAGATTTGGTCTGACATTATTATGATCATTGGTTATATGCACTCCACATTCAACATTTCAGAAGATGTATGATCGCATAATTACTTAAGAGTACCTCTTATTTCACACAATTATATTCATGGCCGACTATGGTAAGGGGCAGGTAGTCATAGGTACAGCCGTACAGGACCCAATATTTTAGTAGGCCCCCGTTATATATATATATATATATATATATATATATATATATATATATATATATATATATATATATATATATATATATATATATATATATATATATATATATATATATATATATATATATATATATATATATATATATATATATATATATATATATATATATATATATATATATATATTACTCCATCTGTCCCGTAATAAATTACAATATTTTTTTCTCTGTTTTTGATAAATTTTTTTATTTGTGTTTTTCATTGAGTATTTGACAAATTAAAATATTCATGTCACATCTCATTTTGTAAAACATTTAACATAGTTTTTTAATATGTAATTTTTATTTTTTATTAGTGTACTAATTCATAAATAAAATGAATTCAAAAGACAAGAGGTTTCACTTCATAATCCCCAATTTGTAATCAAATTATGGTCGGAGGGAGTAAAAAAGTAAGCCATACAGAGAGTCAAAAGTTCAAAACCAAAACCCTAGAGAGAAACCTAGGCTATCTAGTGGGTTACTTTTTCTTTCTTTGATAATAAATTTTTATTCAAAACATATCGCCAGTCTATTGCCTAAAATTTCCTAATTTTGCAAATAGCCTTTGCCAAACCTCGGGTAAATTTCACCAATGTTACTTGAACTTTAGCTGGAATTTCGAAGTGGTACATGAACTTCAAATCCTTTCGCAAAAATCCCTGAACTTACACAATCCTTTCACTAATGAGCCATTAGCCCGTTTCTAGATTAACTTCCGGTCATTAGGGCCAAATTCGAATTTTATATATTTTAAAATTTTTCAATTTGACCCCATTTCTTCTTTTCTTTTCTTCCAGGCCCCGCCGCCGCCGCCCGCCGGTTAAAGCCGCCGGAAAATGAACTTTTTCCGATTCCGGCGAGACCAATGTCATTCTCTTCGTCTTGAGACGAGGATCAATAATATCCAAACCATTTTGTCTAATTTTTCCTGTAACTTCTCGAATCTGAATTTTTCTACTCGAAAAAACCCTAAAATTCGAAATTGAGTCCAAAATGGGAGTTTTGCAAATCGTTATCAAATCTTGCAGTTGAGGGGTCCTTGGAGGTCGCACGGATGCCACGACCGCATTGGAGTTGGTGCCCGCCGTCAATTTCGCCGGAGTTGGCCGGACAACGCTCCGACCCGCCGGCGGTTTCTGGCGGGTCGGAGCGTTTTCCGGCCAACTCCGGCGAAATTGACGGCAGACACCAACTCCAATGCGGTCGTGGCATCCGTGCGACCTCCAAGGATCCCTCAATTGCAAGATTTGATGACGATTTGCAAAACCTCCCATTTTGGATCCAATTTCGATTTTAGGGTTTTTTCGAGTAGAAAAATACAGATTCGAGAAGTTACAGGCAAAATTAGACAAAATTGTTTGGATATTATTGATCCTCGTCTCAAGACGAAGAGAATGACATTGGTCTCGCCGGAATCGGAAAAAGTTCATTTTCCGGCGACTTTGACCGGCGGGCGGCGGCGGCGGGGCCTGGAAGAAAAGAAAAGAAGAAATGGGGTCAAATTGAAAATTTTAAAATATATAAAATTCGAATTTGGCCCTAATGACCGGAAGTTAACCTAGAAACGGGCTAATGGCTCATTAGTGAAAGGATTGTGTAAGTTCAGGGATTTTTGTGAAAGGATTTGAAGTTCAGGTACCACTTCGAAATTCCAGCTAAAGTTCAGGTACCATTGGTGAAATTTACCCNATTGATCCTCGTCTCAAGACGAAGAGAATGACATTGGTCTCGCCGGAATCGGAAAAAGTTCATTTTCCGGCGACTTTGACCGGCGGGCGGCGGCGGCGGGGCCTGGAAGAAAAGAAAAGAAGAAATGGGGTCAAATTGAAAATTTTAAAATATATAAAATTCGAATTTGGCCCTAATGACCGGAAGTTAACCTAGAAACGGGCTAATGGCTCATTAGTGAAAGGATTGTGTAAGTTCAGGGATTTTTGTGAAAGGATTTGAAGTTCAGGTACCACTTCGAAATTCCAGCTAAAGTTCAGGTACCATTGGTGAAATTTACCCGCCAAACCTCTTAATCGACTATGAATTTAACTTTTTGTTATTCTTATTAGTATAATATTAATTTTTGATAAATAAATTAATTGATACACTTTATTTTATTATGACACAATGGCCCATTAACTACGTGTCGTACAAGATCCTTAATTTCTTGGAGACGGCCAAGATTATATTTACTATTGCCTCCATTCTAAAAATATTACCACCTTACTACAAAGTATTTACTAGATCAAACTTAATCCACTTTAATAGCCTATTTTTATCACTTATTTAAAAAAAGAAAATTAATCTTGTTACATCTAGTTTTGTAGATCTTTTGATGTAACTTTTAAGTATATAGCTTTTATTTTTTAATTTCACACCAATTTTTTGATAAATTGAATTGAAAAGAAGTTCAGTCAAATATCCTAAAGAACACTGAGAAATATTTTTACGAAGAAGTACTTGTGCAGTTGTGCCAAATAAATTGAAGAAAAGTAAAACTTTATTTTGGAACAATAAAAAGGTACAAAAGGTCTAATATACGTATCAATTAGTGCTTTCTTCTAGACTTGCACAAACCCAGACCGTCCCGTTTAGTCTGCTCATACTATTCTTAAAAATTAGTGAATGTGGACTACGATATGAGCTCATCATGTGGGCCGGGCTAAGCTGACTCGCAATGAGTTTTACATTTGACCCGCATGGGGCAACAAGCCTGCCCATATCTTATACGTAGTACATATTACGGAGTATTAAATTAAAATATAAATACACATAATATATAATGTAAATATATCTTTTTGGTGTATTAATTGAAGCAATTATAATTGATGCATGGTGTAACTCTACTATATTTATTTTAATATGAAAAAAATACTAATATTAGATGCAAATATTTTTATATATTATGTTAAAAAAACATTTTTATGGAGTATATAAAAAAGTTACAAAAATAAAGTTTCATTATTGTTGTTGTGTATAAAATGTTTCAGGTCGTTTGCAATGTGGTGTTTGGATCGCCTTCATGGGCGAATATGAACATGATCTTTGGCAATAATTTTGCAAGCAAGCTTGACACGTCCAGATATTTAAGCCAAATTTAACTTCATCTAAGGGGGTGTTTGGGAGTGATTAACTTGTGGATAAAGTGATTTCTACAAAAGTTAAAAGTAAAAGCACCTCATACCCGCTTCTCCGAAACGGTGTTCTATGTACAAAATAGTGGTGGTGAAAAGCAGAAGCTGACATGCCAAACAGAGTAAAATCACTTCCACTCAAAGCAGAAGCTAAATTATTAAAAGCAGCGCACTGCCAAACACCCTCTTATCTAACCCAAATATGATTTTGTGGAGATATACTCATCAAATTTTTCTCGCAAATTATGCACCACTTCAAATAAATTCATATGTATTGAAGGTAAAGGAGCGTCCTCGGGTGATCCCATGACATGTAGTTTCAATATTATGAGAACCCCAGCCATAAATAGATATATACATATTGAAACCCACTTAGGAAAGCTAATTTCTCACAGACGTATATACACTTGACCACTCAAACTCATTTTGCATAATAAAAACAAGAGTAAATTTCATAATTGGTCCTTTATAACGGGAGGTTTCCATATTTAGTCCTCTATTATCAAATATTACCTACGTAGTCCTTTTTTAAGGGTGTCTTTCCACAAATGGTCCTTTTTTATCTTCTGTCATGTTGGTATTAATTTAAAGGCTAAAAGTATAATTTGACATCAACATTATGTCTAGTGACATGTTCTAATATTGGTTTAACGGATAATACAAAAATAATGACTATGATTGTGGGCTAGGATTCCGACGAAAGACCACATTTGTAGACTATGGTTGTAGTAGAAAGCAATTGTAATTCACAAACGACGGAAACAGAACAATCTTTGGAATTGTCTATGACAAAAAATATATATTATCATTGCGAAATTACACTTTTATCCCTCAAATTAACACCAACATGATAGAGGATAAAAAAAGACTATTTGTGGAAAGATATCCATAAAAGAAGGACCACTGGGGTAATATTTGATAATAGAAGACTAAATAAGGAAACTTCCATGTTATAAAGGACCAATTATGGAATTTACTCTAAAAACAACAATATTACCTCGTGTTTCAAAAGCTCTCATCTACTCCCTACGTTCCTTTAAATCCTTCCACTTTTGACTTTGGGCAAAAATAAGGAAAATGTAATTTTGGTTGACTTTTCAATTTTACCCTGATGTGATGAATAAAAGTAAAATGTGATAATTTTGTTATTAGTGAAAAAGTATGATGTGATAGGTAGGGTATGAAAAAGGTAAGGGTAAAAGTGGTTTTTTAATAGATAGTGGAAGTGTTTTAGGGAATTCAAAAAAACGAAAGGGGAAGGATTTTATAGAACGGAGGGAGTATTAGATGTTCGAAAGTTGCATTTGTTAGAATATAAATAACTGTCCTGGACCACAACCACAAGCTTGAGCTTCTGGTTGAGTTGGTTCCTTGACATGGTATCGGAGCCTAGTTGACTAAGAGGTCACGAGTTCGAAACTCACCGCCACCCAGTTTAAAAAAATTAAGGTTTCACGTGCAAGGCTCGAAAAAGACTACGCCTGCACGTGAGGGAGCGTGTTAGAATATAAATAATTATTCCTGTACCACAACCACAAGCTTGAGCTTTTGGTTGAGTTGGTTCCTTGACAGCATTGACTAACTATGAATAATTTAGGTGTCTGTCCAAAGTTGCATTGATTATTTTTATTTTATTACCCCATTTGTCCCAAAATGTTTGCCACATTTTGTAAAATGAAGCAAAATATCAAATTTTTTCAATTTATTTTATTTAAATATTGGTATAGAAATAAAAATTAAATTTACATATTTAAAAACTACATGAAAGATTCTTTGAAATTAGAGGAGCCTTTATCAGATAATTAATAAAAATTTACTAACAAACAAAAGTTCATGTGATAGTTGAAAAAGGAAATATGACATTATTTTTGGGACAGAGACAGTTGAAATAAACGTAGATAATTTAAAGAGTTATTTTGTTTAACTTCATCATGCTTCAAGGCTAAAATGTAATGAATCTATGACTCATCAAAATATGGGATTGAATGCCCACGAATTCAAGCATTAAGATTCACAAAAAATATGTATTCAAATCGATTATTCCAAGCAATAAAAACCAAACTAAAATAAAATGCCAAATGTTCGCCACACAAAAATGAGACAAATTACAAGATTTTGTGATGTAGTACTCCTAATTCCACTACAACTACGGAGTATTTTTTTTTTTAGTTTTGACACTGACTTATATGATATTTTGATCAAGTTTTCTCACTAAAATATGGAGAAAAATCATATTATAAAAAAAATACTTCATTTATAAATAAAGTTATCAATTATCAAAACAATATCTTTTTACATGTAAAAGTCAAACTTTTAAAAGTAAAAAAAACAATGATCAGAACGACATGGATCATATGTCATGTCGAAAATCACACACCACTATGAGACCGAAATCTATATGACCACCGCGGTCGCATCTCATGTTCATCTGATCTATGTCTTGACAAATCCCGATTCCTGACCGTGCCTCCATCACATCGGCATGAACGATCAAACCAGATCTTAGTAATGTTATAAAACCCGTACAAGTGGAAAAGCCAACAAACTCACCGATTCTCAAAATCGCCATTTGATGGGTTTAATAACACTTGCTTTTAGCAGTGTTATTAAATCCGGACCGAATCGAGCGGACCGACCGGTCGAACCGCGACCCGGGCACACAACTGCCCCGGTCCAACCCGGAAAAATCCGGGTCAACCCAGAAAAACTCGGGACCCGCCCTCTCCGCCGGGTCATTGATTTTTGGATGAGATTTTACTATACCTAAATGGTGTTTAACTACACAAGAAATAAATTCACCTTGATTTCTTCACCAATCAATCAAGAATCACACCCTTTTCAAGTTGGCTTCAAGTTCTTGAACATGGCATCCCATCTGATCTCTGCTTCTTCAACCTTGGAAGACGGCCAACAATCTCCTCCTCCTCCTCCGCCATTGTTGACCTTCTTCTTCTTCATCTGATCACAAACCATTTGCCCAGAAAAGCTACTACTAATCCTCGGACTACAAGACAATGAAGACATCAGCAACAACGTAGAATCGTTCTTCTTCATCATCATCTTCTTCTTCATCTTCTTCTTCTTCCTCCTCTTCTTCTGCTCTGTTTTCTGCTCTGTTTTTGCAGGAACAATGGCGAGAGCAGAGTCTTCGCTGAAACCGCGAAAGTACTGAAAGAGAAAGTTCCCGGTGCGTTTGACGGCGAGAAGAAGCCGCCGGGAGATGGGTTTAGTGCGGCGGCGCTTGTTCTTGGCGGCGAGCTTGAGGATTTCAAGCCTGTGTTTGGCTATGGAGATTCCCATGCTCTGGAGGAATTCATGGTTGAAGTGGGGAATGTCTTCTTCCTCAAGCAGATTCTGGGCAAAGACTGAACCATACTCATAGACCAGTGTGGGGTCCAATCCTGTTCTGCACAGCCATGAAAACCAGTCCATGGAGTTTATTTTTTGTCACCTTACTTGATGAAACAAGATCTACCAATTCTTCTTGAAACTTGAACATATATATGGATATACTCCCTATGTATATATAGTGGATTATAGTGTTAATTCTTATAGTAGTCCCTATAATATAATGGGAAATTGGGAAATGTAAGTTCACCCCACTAAGAGAAATGATGTGAAGAATCAACAAAAGAGTTAGGCTGCCTTTCGTCCATATAATCTCATCTCATTTTTTAAAGATCTGATCTAGTCTGATTTGATCTAATTTGGTCTGATCTGATTTGATTATGGTTATAATTAAAGCTGTTTTTGATCTAGTCTGATCTGATTATAATAAAACTAAGTAATAAGCAGAAGACTTCAAAAAAAAGTAATAAGCAGAAAAAATAAGTTGAACGGAACGCTGTCTTAGTTATGTAATATTGACCCACTATCACATCATCCTTCCGCATGTTTCTCAATCTCATAAAGAGATTACATCTTAATTAATACAGAGTAAACCGTATGCCCAACAATAAGCAATTCATACTTTCACATAAATTCAACACATGAATTATGTTGCCTTTTCTAATTACAAAAGAAGTATCAAAATTTGATTGGTAGTAACTTTTTAAGCAAAGCGTTGTGTGATAGTAACTTCTAATGTATGGTGTATTTAGCGTGACCACGAGTCATGTGAAAGTTATAAAAATATGAGTCACAATGGTGAAACTAACGACATATCTCATCAATTTTCGGACTTGTTCGAATTTAATAACATTCGTATTAACTTAACCTTGAACTAGTTTTTTTGCCAATGGTGTGATTAGTGACTTGAACTAGTGAGATTTGAAGTAGAATAAACTATAAAGTTTAAAGAAAGGGGTCATTTGTGGGGTCTTTAGGACCATGCTCCTTCCAAGTGTAGGCCATTATTTGAGTGAGAACTAAGAAATCACGCACATCTATCTCTAAAAATTGCCATCAATTGCGCGCCATTAAAGTTGTTGACCATTTTTTTCACTCACTTTTACCTTTATTTTCTTCTAGTGCACCGACAAATACCATATGCAATGCAAAGATTTTTTTAAAAGCTTATAACGACCAAGGACTTTAGTCTAGAAGTACTCACATTTTAACTTTGACATTTCACTCATTCACCCATGTTGTCTAGACCTGCACAAACTTATATTGACTCGTTCGGCTCGTCAAATCGGAGATCTAAGAGGATGCAGGGCAAGACTGGGGTGGGAGAGCGATGAAATCGATGGGTCTGGAATTTATGGAAAGTAGAAACCATCAATTTTATAAACTATGCACTGTAAGTGTTCCAAAGGCTAAAACCATTGGTGTAACTAACGATGTTACCAATTACATACACCACGTTAAAGTTTAAACTATCAAAAAAATGGATGAGCCTCATCCCCGAAAGCCCTCTCAAACTCGACCAGACAGTCACTGAAATGAAGTAAATTAGACTTTATTTTAAATTATCAAGTTTTAACTTGTTTGTATCGTGTGGTTGGTGACTTGGGAGTGCTTTGAATTAGTGAAGTTTGACAGGGAATAAAGCCGAGATAAAGGGGTCATTTGTGGGGTTAGGGTAAAGACTAAAGACCATGTTTGTTCTTTCCAAGACTAGGTCATTGTTAGTTGGAATTTGGAACATAAACATGAGTGTGAACTAAGAAATACTCACACCCTCCCCCAAATGGCCCCAATTATCTTTCTATTTGTCCCTTCTCGTTCAAAGTTTTCTAACTTTAACCATAAAATATTGAAAGAATATATTGAATTATGATATACATTTCATACAAATATATTCATTTTAAAATAAAGTTTAAAAATATCATATTTTTATAATATAAAACTATATATAAATAAAGAGATTAATGATCAAAGTAGTACAATAGTATAGTACCATCAATGAAAAAATTTGTTAGATCTAAACTGCCATCAATTGCGCCGAAGGTGATCTTTTTTAAGCGTGTGTCACTCATCACCGACAAATACCATATGGAATGAGCATTTGTCTCACATCATCATCATAAACCCAATCTTCTTTTTTACTCATTTTATACGCGTTAAGATCAATTATAATTCCTTCTTTCTAAAATAAGTTTCTTAATCACTATCATATAATCAAATTTTAATTATTTTTTTTTACCTATTTTTATTATTTATTTGATAAAATAAGATAGTCATGTCACTTCATGTTTTATAAAACTTTTGATGTCGTTTTAAAATATATATTTTTTAATTTTACACCTATAATAAAAAAAATTAAATTGAAAATAATTTCAGTCAAACTTCGTAAATCGAACGGGGAAAATCATTTAAGGACGAAGGGAGTACATCTCTTATTTGTAAAAAATAAAAATTAAAATATAAATGAAAAAGCAATTGACCAATCACTCTTTTCTCTCCGTACAGAAATATTATTCCCCATTCTTTTCCTACTCTTATATTCCCCACCCACATTTAATAATTCATCTCATATTTTTCCTTCCACATCATCATATTCTTCCCTTATTCTTTTTCCATTAGGTTGCGGGGTGTGCCCACGGGAAGCCAGGGGCCCTCTATGCGGGAATGGGGAAAGGTGGATCCCCTCTACGTTTTCCCGTTCCGCTTTGTGCATTATAGCTGGTGAATTCAATCGTTTTCAACAGTCATATCATTTTTTATTAAAAGAAAAAAATTCAAAACTCAAAAAATTTAAACCCCTCTCCCCACACCATTTTAAATACCTCTCCCATTCGATTTCTTCTCCATTCTTCAGATTCATTTTCAATTAAAAAAGGTTATCTGATTTTGCCACAATGCTGTCTCATTTATTTGATACATGATAACTTCTTCTTCTTCGGATGAAACATAAACGTTTTTTCATAAACTTGATCGTGGAGGCGGCAAATTTTATCTGAACATGCGAAAATCGGAAATACGTCGGCACCAAGAAAAAGAAATCGACGGTTGCGATGAGACCAGTTAGGTATAAAAATATAAATCCTTTCTAAGTCTCATTTTTTAATCCCCAATAAATAAAAATTTTAATACTGTTTTTTGCTATAATTCATGTTCTGCACACCATAGATGGTCACAACCAACTTGTGGCCAATTACTTCACGAAAAATTTGGTTTATAATTACAAACAGTTTAGGTGTTGCTTTCGTATGAGTCATCATATTTTCCTACGTATTGTCGATAATTTGGCACATGCAGATCTTTTTTTTACTTTGCAGGCGGGATGGCAGACAAAAGTTGGGTTATGGTACCTTATAAAAGTGCACCGCAGTGGTTCGACTACAAGCATACAACACATCTGCTGACACACTTGATGATTATCTAAGGATGCCTGCGAGAACGTCCTAAGAATGCTTATACAAGCTTGCAAAATGGGCCATCAAGTTACACAACAAACAATATTTATGGAGACCAACTCACAAAGACGTCCAAAACTTGTTTGCCGCCCATGAAGGGATACATGGTTTATTCGCATGCTTGGAAGTATTGATTGTATGCATTGCTTGTGGCGTAATTGTCCTGATGCATGGCAGAGTCAATTGACACGTGGCGATAACGGACATCATATCCCACAATCATGCTAGAAGCTGCTGCCTCATAAGATATTTGAATTTGACATGCTTTCTTTGATGTTGTAGGTTCAAACAACGACTTAAATTTTATCGGTCAATCAGACATTTCAACAAAACCATTCCGGGTACCAGATTTGATACTTTGTTCACAATTTTTGGGGTGGAATACACACATGAATATTATCCTGCTCATAGTATATAGCCTGAGTGTCTCGCTATTGTAAAATTAATATTGTATCCTTGAGAATTTACCAAATATCAAGAATCAGCAAGAAAAGATATAAAACAAGTATCTGGGATTCTAAAGTAGAGATGACATATTATCCAAAACTCGACTTGTGTGTGGTAACAAAAAAAAAGACATGAGATGTATGATTGTATTATACTAGAGTACATAACATGTTCCTCGAAGATGAACGGAGCATGATATACGAATATGATCCGAATGACATTCTTGAGAACATCGAACCGGTTGATGCTGCACGTCGAGACTTGAACATGTCTGCATTACATAACTAGCATACACACCTCAATCTACGTGCCGATTTGGTAGAGTATTTGACCGTGTTTGGAAAATAGCTTTTCGGATAGCTTTTAGTATCTTTAACTGACTTTGGCTTTTTAACTAAGCGAACAGCCAAAATCATTATTTACCTAATGGCTTTTTACTTGGCATTTTGATCTGAAAAGCCAAAATCTTAAAAGCCAAGGGGGTAGCATTTAGAATTGGCTGTTAAGAAAAATTAATTTTTTAAATCATTTTTCTTGGAAGATATTCTATAATATATGTAAAAAAATAAAAATAAAAGTTAAAAAATTCAAAACTAAAAAAATAAAATAAATTTAAAAATTCCAAAAAAAATGAGATGAGAAAATAAAAAGTAAAAATCATTAAAAAGTTGTATGTTAAATATATATAATATATTTAATATTATTGTATTATTATTGTTACCATATTTGTATAGGTTTCCTAGATGGTCTCTCCTACCATAATTAGGATTGAGACTTTTGTATATATACATGTACTCTCCTCACAATTTATTCAATGAAAATAATCCTTCTTCATGGTATCAGAGCCTAACCAAAAACCATAATCTCTCCTCTCACCTTTCGGCCTCCCTCCTTCTCCGCCGAATCACCGGCGCCGCCGCCCTCCCTCTCCTTCTCTCTCGGCCGGCCATCTCCTCCTCCCTACCATGGCTGAAAATGAGATCACCTCTCAGTCTACCACCCAAAAATCTCCTCATCTGGCTTTCTCTGTCTCCAACGTCAAATTACATGTCCCTATTCAACTAAGCTTTTCTCAACCAAACTATAAAAAGTGGAGCCGACTGTTTCTTCTTCTTACACGTCGGTTCAACCTCCACGGTTATCTTGATGGCTCTATCGTTCCCATCTCCGACGAAGATGATGAATGATTTCAACTTGACGCCATTCTCCAGGGTTGGATTCTCTCCACCATCACGGATGAAGTCTCTGATCTGGTTATTTCC